GGGAAATGATTGAAGTGTTTATTTTAATCTAAGATAGTCGGACATTAAAGACATTACCTTTGAATAAAAGAAAACATGTTTTTAACTATGCCTTTGTTACACCTAGTTAAAGTAACCATTCCTCTGGAATAGGTTATTTTACAAATTCTAAAATGTTCTATCTCAGTATCATGAAAAACAAAGTAATATGTGGATGTGTGTGTGTGTGTGTGTGTGTGTGTGTGTGTGTGTGAAATGTATATAAATCTGAACTCTCCACATTGGTCTGAATGTTACAGCATTTGATGTATGGTGTTTTCCATGTTAGATATAAGGAGTGTCATGTTTTACACGAATTAATTTCGTCCAAGTTGTCCACTGTCATTAACTTGGTGTAAACTCGTGACTGGTTTCCTGCAGTCTTGTGGCTATGGCTCAGAACTCTGTCATTAGTACTTTGGTAAGTTTGGAGTCACACAAACTGACCTAAAGATATTCTCTGAGAACCAGAAACTGAGAGCTTCAGGCAACTGCATCCACGCATCCTGGGAAAAGGTCTGAAAACATGTCACCATACTAACTCAGATGACCCTTTTCCTCATGAAATAGTTTTAGTTCAACATATAGATTGGGTGTAATTCGAGGGATGGTTTACTCATTATCCATTCAATTTTACAGAGGAAACATCATCTGGAACAAAAGAACAACAGGGAATAGTGTGTTCTATTTTTATACACATTGGCTTTTGCCAATGCCCAAGTTCAATTCTAGTACACTAGTTTCTTGATTTAATATTTTAATAATTCATTTTTCTATATAACCTCCCAGCATGGCATTATGTGATATTACAAGAACTTTAATGCCAAGAATCAACTAATGGTGAAGAGAATATACTATGCCAAGGGCCTTTAAACACTGTGCTAGTCCAGCTCTTGGCTTCTTGGTAATATTGAACCTCGTTTATTTAGAATAGTTTTTTTTTTCCAGTTAAATGTTTTCTAAGAAGGAGATTTCATATACTTTTTTTGAATAAAAACCACTCCAGTTGTCTTACAAACCCCCTCAGGTGTCCATCCAGGATTGTGCTTGACAATTATCCAACATTTTAAGCCATGGAGGAAGTTTTCCTGTAGTCACCTCAGACTTATTGCACCAAAGTAACTGAAATTCTTTGTTTTTTATGTGAAATGTTCCCTGAGCAGCTCCACAGTCATGGCTCCACAGTCATTCTCTTAAAAGAGAATCATCTCTGAAGGAGAGGGTGGGGTGTGGGGGTGGGTCAGAGGAGAAGAATAAGTGCTCTTGGTGGCCTAGATGTCGATGTGGCAACACTTGTGAAGGAGCGAGTCAGCAAGTGCTTCATTGTCTGCCATGGACATCAGCATGGAGGCCGAAGTTGTGGTTACCATAAGTCTGGTCTATGCCTTTTCATATTAAATGTTTCTTTTCTTCCTTAATTGAACTGTGTTGATGGATCTGCCACTCGGGCTGATGCCGTCAAGCTGAGGATGCCTTTGATTGACACTATTTCTTTCTGTTTAAAAACTCTAAATATTCCAGCCGTGTCAGAAGCTTTTAGAAAAAGACACTATCTGCTTACTCTTGGACCCAATGGGTTTATGACTTTGTGATATGGCAAATATCATAAAATGTTGTTAAATACTTTAGGCAGGCGTGGTGAGGCATGCCAAGTAATCCCAATGATGCAGGAGGCTGAGGCAGAAGGAACCCAAGTTCAAAACCAGACTCAGCAACTTAGTGAGACCCTGCCTTAAAATAAAAAAAACATAAAAATAAAAAGGCTGGGGATATTGCTCAGTGGTTAAGCACCTCTGGGTTCAATCTCCAGTCCCCCCACAAAAAGTATTTAATTCAGTAATACACAAAGTATACAAGAATATTTGAAATATTTTCAACATTTGAACAAATGATTTTTTTTTTTTCTATTTAGGTTCGGCATATCAAGTGATTTAAAAGCTCAGTTTTCACCAAAGCAGGGTGTAGACTCAAAAGTTCCTTTGTGAGGTTATGAAGGCACTCAGACCAGCAGGTGGCACTGTTACCTTTGTGCTTCTAAGAAGAGCAGTTTGGCCTGAGATGAGTTCTCACATAGATCTCAGAAACTGTTGAGGATTGCATTTCCCTATTTTTATTCAAACAGTTTTATAACAAAGCAATAAAGTTATTTTTACTGTCAAAGAGAAAAATGGATGAGTGGACAAAACGATTTCTATAGATAGTCTGTTCAATGATTTGTTAGCACGTGAAATAGTTAAGATCCATATGGAGGAAAAATGCTCTTCCTGCAAATGCTAGTTTCATATTATATCAGTGTCTTTTCTTCCTTATTTATAAACTCTGAATCTTAATCTGATCAATCCAGCTGGGTGGACAATAGGATGAGAACAATACCCCTTTTCTTCCTTTGTTTTGGGATTTTATAATATCTCTTGGAATCAAAATTTTAGTGTTGTAAGGAATCTTAGAGATTATCTAGTTGAACACTCAACTCATCTTTAGATGAAGAAGTGAAGTCCCATTGAAGTTCAACTTCTAATAGTCTAATTTGGTGGTAGACATACCTGCTTTCAATGAAAAGCAGAAATGAGACTCATTATCTTCAGAACAAAGAGGCTATAATAACCCTATGCTTTGTAATGACCTAGTCCTCTGCCATTGTCCCAGGTGGAGTGGAAGGTAGGGAGATTTGACTACTAAGCTTATTGGTGGAGACTGATTTCTTTGTTATTCTTTGTCTACTTTGGCTTCTCTTCACAAAGTTTCTGTACAGTGCTGCTAAGATTCTAGAAACATTTTCTTAGCTATATCTAAATAGCCAATCCAGGCATAAAAGTATGGCAAAAAAAGTCTTTTCCCATAGTGATTAGTAATTTAAAGAGGGATGCAGCATACATCTTTAATCAAATTTAATTTAATTAGAGTATTCCAAAAGTTTCAGAACCCTGAGCTAGCTAGCTCAGGGTTTGCAGAGGATCCAGGGAGCATTTTCACACAAGTATGGGATGATTAAAGCAGGTGTCTGTGTTATAAGAAGCCCTTCCTGCTAAGATAAAGGGACTCTCAAGTTTTTCAGTATGATACTCGGGCACAAAAAGCTTCTCATTTCTTTACTGTTATGAATTAAATGAAATAAGGGTCATTCAATTTGCCTGGTTAGTAGGACATCCAAACTCAAGTTGTTTTATTTTTTTTTCAGGAGATAATCTCTACTTTAGTATGGAATGGCCAAAGAGCCAAAGGATTTAAATGAACCAGGGTATTGGACCAGGGCTGTTCTCCATTCTAGTGGAGAGTTGCTGAGAAGTTTGTGGTTAAGCATGTGGGGTCCATTTGAAGGTGGTTACCCACTACTGCTCATTTCTTCCATGGGGGTGATCTGGGCCTCCAACCTCTACAGGGTTCCAGACACCCACACAGGAGCACTGCTGCTTCCTAGGTGCTGTGGGGAACAGGGTGCAGTGTCTTTTCCCACCATCTAACACCACTCCAGAGTCTACCGTTCCTACTTCCTGCTTTTGGAAATCCAGCTTTCTTCAGGCCCCAGTGGAACAAAACCTGCCGTGCTTTCTTCCTTTGAGATCACATCACTTAACCTACTTTACTGGGTCTGAAACTAAGAATGATTGATTACTTTTCTCCCTGGGATTTTAGGACACAAAAGAACATCTGAGAAAAGAGGGAAAAAAAAAAAACTTCTTTCAGAAAATGAATTTGTTGCAAGAGGGATAAGAAAAATGTTATTTTTTTCAATAATATAGTCTGTTTCATAAGGCTACATTTTCTCCTATCCAAAAGTTGTTAGGATTGGTGACAATATGGGAAGAAGTGAAAGGAACCTCAGCATTCAGGGGCTGCTGCTTCTAACGGTTTATATTAACCAGGTCCCGAGCTCCTGCTGGGTGAAAAATGGGTTGAGTTGACTGGGAACAACTGTCAGTGTACTAAGACTGGAGGGTAGGGGGTGAATAGAAAGCAGCTTTTCCCAGGGGAGAGGGCCTCTTCTATGCAGCTGAAAATGTTTATTGCTGCTTAATGTTCTATTGCTGAACTTGATTTCTTATCGTCTCAGAGACCTTTAGCTGCCTATAAAACAGAATTCACATTTACTGCCTACTTACTCCTTAGGGATCCTTGAGAATTCCCTGGGTTAATTTATGCTAAGTGCTTTGTCTCGTCAGTAATAATACTAATGTGGGCTATTAAGATATCATCCAGATAACTGAATCTCCCCCTCTTAATTTAGCTATTCTCAACATGTCTCCTAGACTAGGATTTGAAATAAAGGTAAACTCCTAGAGAACATTCCCATGAAGTGTGCTTGTCACATTTGTGAAGCAAGGAAAAACATAATTAAAACAAAATTTCACTTCTTTTTTTTATGCAAAAATGAGTATTTTATTTTGGTACACTAAAAGAAAAAAAAATCAAATCCATTGTATTTCTACACTGAGGTGAAAACAATGTTTAAACTTGCTTATCAATCAAATACATTCCAAAAGAAAGTGTGTTCTATGAAGGTTCCAAAGCACAGGCAAATCTTAACACAATATACAGGAATCAGTAATACTGAAAATTTCTGTTCTGACAGGGTGTTTAGCAAATATAACTTTTGAATTATTCAACCAGTGAAGCAATCCCTTCCTAATAACTGTGTCAAGAGTGAAACTGGGTTGTTCCATTAATACTCTTGTGATTTCATTGTAACACTTTTTTACTGCTATCAATTTTAAATTTGCTGTACTTAAAATAAGTTTTTGAAAGTGGAAAAGTATACAAAGTTTCAGATAAAAAGAYTAACAGATGCAATTTAAATAAAACTTTCCCTCTTCCCTCATATCAATTAACAATAATCATTACTTTTAACAGAGACAGACTGGGCTTTAAAATTCAATTCCCAAAATGAAAACTTGTTTTACATCTTCATCAGATATAACTGGAAAAGATTATTATATATTTGGAACCTTTTACAAGAAAAAAATTTTTTTGTATTAAAGCAGAAACCAGTTCCTAAATCTTTTATTCAGTTGTATATCCTGTTGAGACAAATATCAAAAATAGAAGACTGTCACTTTTGCTTTTGTATTGACTTTTTKTTCACTGCAGCCTTCTATAACTTTTACAGAGTTCATGGTCCCTAATATCTCCCCACCCTCCATTTTTCCTAGGTGGGGAAATAGCTACCACAGTAAACTTTTCACTGATAGTTAAAGTTTCTGGAAACATGTACTGTTTGTTATTATTTAAGAGTAACTCAATTTGGGCACTCTGGGTGGAAGGCCTACATGTTTTCTTGTGATGCATTCCACAGTCTCCAGCATGAAAAATCCTAGGAGCTTGAGGAACCAGTACTTTCCAGAATTTTGGAAGACAAGATACAGTCAAATATTGAAGAGTCCAGTCCCAGTTATAATCATCATAGGTACAGAAAGTGTCTGTGCACTCAATCAGCTTCTGATATGCATCCCGGGTCAAGGCTAAACCCATATTGTGCTCTGTGGATTTCCAAGTTTTCACATCTACCTTGTCAGCAATGCCATGGAAATTACGACTGGCAGTATAGGTCCCCAGTGAGATAACATCACAMTCRGGGCACTCTTGCTCCTTCAATTTCCACATTTTTTTGAAGACATGGTAAAAGTCTGGAGCTAAGTAGTGGTCCTCTTCTAGGAAGAGTATAAGGCCAGTATAATCTMGAAGAACTTTGACCCTTTCCCATACGAAATGCAGCTTCCACCACCAATGATGTTTGGTTTGGGAGAATTTGGCCTCTCKGTAATGGCCGAAGGAGTCAGGATACTCAGCATTAATACMCCCCAATTTCAAAGCTGCATTCTTCTGCAGGTCTCTAGGGCAATCTCTAGGATCACTCCCCGGAAACTCGTTGGGGTACAACTGAATGCTGAAAGGAAAGAACACCTGAAGAACAGGGCAGAAATCCACCCCAGCGATCAAATTATTGATCTCTGTCGACCAGAAGTCATGGCTAAAAATGACGAGGGCGTTGTCAATGCCCTGGGCTTTCCGAAGTGAGTCCAGTAGCAGTCTGAGGTATTCCGGCCGGTTATGCACCTGGACCACCAGCACCAGCTCCCGGGGAGTCCAGGTGCCAGCCTTATCTACATTCCTCAGCGTCTGATCAAAGTTCAGCTGGTACAGGAGGGACCGGTATCGCAGCGTAAGGTTGTCCGCCTCCGGCTGCGGGACCGCGGGGACCAGTGGAGCCGCCGGCTCCTTGGAAACCCTGCGGATGCCCACCGACACCGCGGGATGTCCCCACCCCGGCCTCCMGCGCCCGGCACGGGCTCGACGTCCAGCAACTGCGGGGCAAGGGCTTCTTCCTTTGTCGCCCATTGCTGCTCCAGAGGACGAAGCCGCAGGCTCTCACTTCTTTTTTTTTTTATATAAACTTTTGTGAGGTGCTGTGGATCAAACCTGATGCCTCATGCATTCGAGGTAAGTGCTCTACCACTGAGCCACAACCCCAGTCTGAAAAAACATAATTTCTGATATGCTATTTTAATTTTACTTCCTTGAATATTGATGTAACAGCTGGATTTTGGACATGTGCTTTATCTTCTGCCTCAGCCCTGATGAGTATGTAGCAGCCTGTGGGAGTGGCTTGTTTATTTCCCTTTCCAACAATGAGCTTCTCTTTCCAACCATCATGTTGGTAGCCTGGGATCAGCCACGGTGGGACTGTTGACAAGGAGGCAAAAACTACAAATGGCACTTACCAGCATGCTATTGCCTAAAAACCATATTTAAACCAGTTCACTGAATGACTATAATGACCCATTTCAACTTTATGTGAAGGGTGTATAGAGAGTGAGTTTGGATGATTCATAATTGGAAAGACTATTCATTCCATCTGTTTCAACATATATTAATATTTTTAAATGCTACCACTACTTTTTATTCATGAAAATTAATCGCCTGTGTGCCAATGATAACATATCTTTACAGTTTGTAGCAAGTTTGCTCTCAAAAGAAAATAGAAGAAAACTGGCAGGAGAGTCTTTGGAGTCAACATTTGCAGAAGGTGTATGAAGAGATAATAAGGAATACCATTTGGATTCCAGCTCTGTTAATATTTTTAGAAAGAGATTTTCGTACCTTAATGCTCATTGCTTTCCTCCACGCCCCCCCAGCTCTGTTAGAGATAAGTCCTGTTAAATCTAAATTACTTTGACAATTATCATAGATTTTAAGGGATGTTGTGCTAAGCCTCGGGGAGGCAATGGGATTAAATGAAATAATGACTGCAAAGTGTTGTGCTGTTGAAGAAAAAGCTTCCCTCTCCCCCAACAGTCACTGACTTCTTAAGCAGAAGAACCAGTGATTGACTCTAACGTTGGGGCAGCATTCCGTGGGTCTTATTTTCATTAGAACTATGTTGAAAGGAAAAGGAATGGTTTTCTGTATAGTGCTATAGTTTTATTTTTTTAAAGCAGGATGGCTAAACACACACACACACACACACACACACACACATATACACACACATATTTGTATATAAATTTTTTTTTTTTTTTTGTACTGGGGAATGAATTCAGGGGCAGTTGACCTGACCACTGAGCCACATTCCTATCCCTATTTTGTATTTTATTGAGAGACAGAGTCTCAGTGAGTTGCTTAGCACATCCCCCATCCTTATTTTTTATTTTATTTAGGGGCAGGGTCTCACTGAGTTGCTTAGCACCTCGCTTTTGCTGAGGCTGGCTTTGAACTTTCGATATTTCTATYTCAGCCTCCCAAGCTACTGGGATTACAAGTGTGCACCCCTGCGCCTAGGCAACAAGATATATTTTAAGCTGAGGATTCTGTTAGGCTTCTAGGAAACTTAATCATTATATTTTATTGCTTAAAAAATACAGCAAAAGATCTTTATGGGAAGTTGAGCAAAATGGTAGGCATAGGAAGAAGATCTGTCCAAAGTCATGGCAGATTGTCATCGCCAAGGACTGTCAGCCACAGAGCTATGGACTCGAAAAGAAGTGCCACTAAAACCCTTAAGAAGTTGGCCACACAGACTAACTTTAGGTGCATGACATGTTGGCTTTGTTTACGTACCTCAGGATGAGTATAAAATAGGTGTATGGCAGCCTRAGACTAGAGATCATGGAGGGAAACACCACCCTGCATGTGCTTTATAAATGTGCGCCTCTGTGTATGTGGCTGAATCTCCTCTTCCTTCCTTCTGGGGAAGAGATGGCCTGGCTAGAAAATCAGATTTATCATAAAGTTTATATGTCATAGTCTTCTGTTCTTGTGTTTCTACCCTAAAATGGTTATCCACCAATTCCTTATATCTTATTTGGAGAGAAATTGTGGATGTTTGAAGGTCAGAGGTGCATAAATGAACCTGGAGCACATTAGATCTTAAAGTTCATGGGCTTAGGTATGCCAATGTGACCCTTTTAATATGATCTTACTAGAGCAGCACAATGTAAGAAAAATGCTCAGCAAGCAGATGGAGGTGGTGGAAGAATGGTGGGAAAGTGAAAGTATTGGGGAATAAGGTCAACCAAATTATGTACATATACAAATATTGTATAATGAGTCCTGCTATTATGTAATGCATCAATAAAGAAAAATGTCCAGAATTTCTGATACTATAATGTTTGGAATTCCTAACATTTGACTAAATTTTTAAGCTAAGATATTCAAGTTCATTCCTATTTCCATGCATTTGAGTTTATTTATGCAGGTAATCATTCAATAGACATTTTTTGAGAAAAAATATGTATGTGTGTGTGTATGTATATATATATGTGTGTGTGTGTGTGTGTGTGTATATATATATATATAAAATCTGAAATGGAGAACTTAAAATAATGAAGCTGGAAATAATAACCTTTACTGTCTACTTTCCTGAGTCAGGAACTGTGACCAGGCTTTTAAGGATTTATTCTAGAGAAAATCTAGGATCACACAACTTGTGAGTTTCAGAGTCCAGAAATAAGTACAACTGGGATGAGACTATGAGTTTCACTCCCCGAAATGCAGCTATGACATTATACTAAATAGCTCAAACTTTATGTGCACCAAGAGGAGACAGCTACAGAATGATTTGAGGAAGGAAGGCTTCTTACAAGACATAAATTTGGAGCCAAAGTTTGACATATGGTTCCATGGCTTAATGCCATAGGGTATGTTAACAACTTGAAAGTACATAGATTTACAAATTTGAAAATCATGTAAAATTTTGGAAGGAGTAAATGACACATGTACTAACTTAAATTTACATCTACCATTTTTCATTCCTTCATCTTTCCATTCCATCAAAGTACTATACACAGAATTTTCATGAGCTATGATTTCAGCTCAAATACCTTTTCCCATATCACCTTCCCAAGCTTTGGTCACCAATTTATACTAATCACCTCTTTTTTTTTTTTTTTAGTAGTTAATGGACCATTTATTTTATTTCTTTATATGCAGTGCTGCAAATCGAACCCAGTGCCTCACACATGCTAGGCCAGGCCAGTGCTCTACCACTGAACCACAGCCCCAGCCCACTAATTGCCTCTTTAGAAGTTGGTCAATAGACCACCTCCATGATCTTAGTCCTTACTGTGATGTCTGGTTAAACATAGGCTCTTATGGATATTGTTAAATTTTAACAAATATTATCTTGTTTTTGCTTTCATTTCTCTTGTTTTCAAAGCCATGCCATTTTTAAAGTTTTTTWAAATTTTTTATACCATTTTTTAATGAATCAAACTTCCTCATTTCAAACTCCTGTCACCTTTCTTTCCCCTTGTAAAGACAAAGAATACATAATATTGAGCTCTGAATGAGAATGGCAATTATTGACAACTTTTACAAGACTTATGGTAGATGCAATTCTAAGACAGGAGTTAGAACTCTCCTAAAAGATAAGGATTCCAATTTAGATGGGAGAGCTTTCTGCTTCTCATTTATGTTTAATGGTGCAGGTGGGAAAGTTGTTTTACCAATGGCTGCCAGATAGAATCTATTGATGATTTGACTCCAAAAGAATTAAAAGGAGTGTGGTGGAAGCAATGAGAAATGAACGAATTGCTTCTTTAGACCAGACTACTGTGCTGCTTTTTGATGATACCCATGCTTTTCCCAGAGGGACATTGTCACACAACATTTGCACAAGGGCTTCCTGTTTGTAACTCTGCCAGAACTGGGGGGCTCTGCTTACATGCTCAAGATTTCTTAAATTGCCACATTCAGATATCATTGTTGACCTCACTAATACCATTTTGATAAAACATTTATGTCACTACTTCTCTTATATCTCATTCTTGATTTGTATTGGAATCCCTGTCCTACATTTCCCCCCATCCCTCATATATCACATATTTGTTATCTGGGGTAGTTTTGAGTTGTTAATGCTTCATGCTTTTAATTCCTGTTGGCTAGAACACAAATGTTTGATGTGCAATATTATGAGGCTTRTGCATGGCAAGAAAAATTCTGCTAAAGGCCTGATAATGAGAAGTACTGCCTATTCAGAGGTCTCGTGCAGTTCATCTATCTGTTTCACTGTGTTTTGGGAGAAGTTAGTTTTCTTTTCTTTGCTTCTATGAAATGAAGGTGCCCTGTTAGACTTAAAGGGCACCTGTAATTGCTTTTTCTTGTATCCATTTTACTACTACTCATTTTCACAGTGGTTGTCTTCTATGGATTCTAAGCTGTGTACCCTCTTGAGTTGGTTACCTGCCTAATAGAAATAGCTTCTGCTCAGATCACTGTCACCTCATGGTCCCCCGAGATCCAATATCTATTTTCTTATCTGTTCAGATTCCTGAATGACAATTTTACTTTGATCTCTGGAGCATATGCTCCTTAACTTTGGCCGTTTTGAGCTCCTTGTTTTTTCCTAGACATTTTTGTCTAATCTTAGAAGTTTCTGCAGGAATGTTTATCTGAGATTAACAAAAAGGGACTTTAGTCTTTGGCACTTCACTCTGTTGTTAGCTCTTCCGTTTATTCTGTTTGCCATGATTCTTCTTTAGTAGCCAATAAAAGCATTAACTTTCTTAACTTTTGAACATAATATGCAAATATGAATGTATATATCCATATAAAGGGGTATATACTCTGTAGCTATATCCATCACGGTATCCACTTCCTGGCTGCCTTCTAACCCTCTACCTGCCCCCAGCTTTAGGGGTATATCCTAATTACTCTGAAGTGACATTTCTCATCTTTGTCTGCTGAAGTCATTTGGAGAACTTTTTAAAAAAACAGACTYCCCAGCTCCACCCTAGGCAGAACTGAATCAGAATCTCTGGGGCGTGGGATGTGGACATTTAAAAAAATACTTCCTGGGAGATTCTGAATCAACATTGTGATAGAGAACTATGTGCCTCAGCCAATCAATGTGCTGAGGCACTT